TTTTTTTTTAAGAAACGAAATCTCCATATCGTAATCAGCAAGCACAGACAAATCTCGAGTAAATATTGTAATTCAACATTGTGTGCACGTTCTCGGAACGTTGGAATATCGTTGCATACATTTCGGCCTTATTCAATATACCCGTACGTCTCAATATGGCTACGACTAATAAGGCTTGAGCACACTGAAAGCGATGACCTTAAAAAACCAAGAACAGACGTGTCCCACGTCAAGCCAGCAAAAACTGAAGCTCTCGGAAGCGTGCATTTCCGCGAACAGAGAGTCCGATAAACTTTAGACGAAGACTGAACGAGACAACGCGGCTTGTCGGGCGGTTTTGTTCGATTTTGACTTTCTGCATACTCGTTGAACTGTGCAGGTGTGTTTAAGGTACATTGTCACCTCTTCGCAGACGAGATTCGCGGAACACTTGCCGCGGCGGATGACAAATAATTACAATGCCTCAACGCCGCGTTCCCCGCGCCTTTGTCTTCGGAGCTGTTAGTCACGCCACTCCAAATATTGTCGTTGGATTTTTTGCTGCCTCCTCGTTATTTCAACAAGCTATTTTAATATTCCTCACCGACTTCATTCCTTGTAACAGACAGTTTTCATCGCCCGGGGCCGATTTCTTTTTCAGACCTGCATCGTCGTTGTCTTCTCTTACTAGACTGGGTGATACATAAATGATTTCAAACGCTCCGCAGGTAAGCTATCTATTACGTTATTCTTTTATACAATTGTGAAGTCTATTAGTTTCGGGAGTGCCTATCTCAATGGTGATAGTATTACATTCTGTCTGCGTCTATTTTTTGTCCTCAAAGCAAGATTTATTAATATTTAAGCTGATCTAGTGTTTCAACTAAATTCCAACTACACCGTCCACTAATGCTTATACTAAGTAGTTCTTAGTATGAAGACGTCCTCGATATGCACTTCGGTGGGACAAACACACGAACGACTACGAATAAACAGCAATATGGGCCGCCACTTGTGTTTGTTTGGCATTCGTCAGAGTAAATATTTCTTAGATGATACGACCAGGTTACTTAGGGCTTGCTATCGCAAAACAGATGAACGAATTGCTGGAAGTCGGACCCCTGAGTTTATTACAACCTTTAAAACTTCTTTCTTGTGATATGCTTATGTGATAGGTGTTCACGGTTACAATTCAAATTTGCTATTGATCTACAAATAAGTGGCATCGCTAATTACAGCTCGCGTATGTGATGCGATATAAGATATAACGCGTTCTTATTGGCGTATCACGGCGCATACCCACGACGCGTAATTTCAAATACTTCAACACAGCCTTTTTCAAATAAGAGGGTACATAAATAATATGCTAGTATCATATAGGCTAAAATTCGCATGACGTAAGATATCAGCAGCGTCGAGGCGACAGTTCGTGACTGGGCAGATCGATTCGAGGAAGGATCTATGAATGGCACTCACACAACTTGTATGTTTCCCTGGTGGTAACGAATTGAAGTCCTTCGTAGTCTTCAACCTAACCAAGCATTCCTATGATTTTCGTACGTCTAGCGTGCTCTTCATCCGCTCCTCTTATTGGTTGCTAGCGTTGCTGTAAAACGCAAATTCTTGTTTTACGTTGTCTTTATATTTGTCTCCCACCACTCGTTAGGTATCAATTTAATGTTTTATTTGTAATTTTTTTGAGTAATATCATTGAATTGAAGCGTACAAAAACTTTTTCACGCATTATACAATTTTCTGAGTAATAGAAAGGGATGTTACAATCAGTTTAAAAAATATAAGCATGTCTTACGATGGACGCTCTCAAATACTAAAGACCATACGCGACACCAAACAGTTTTCACCTATTGCCGACCAATTTAAGGTGGCCTCCGGTATTTATTTTTTTATTTTTTGCGTATTGTTCATTAATGAACAATACGCAAAAAATAAATACTTTCTTTTAACGCAAATTTTATGTAAATTCGTTGTTCTTGTGTAAAAAGTTCTCAATGTGGGCGTTCACCATGTGTGAAGCCCACCGCCCATGGAAATCACCGGACGGCTTGTAGATGCATTAGCAGGAGGACCCTTCTACCTCACTCATAATACTTCCAGTTCACGCTGGTCTTGTGTGACTGTGGTATATCCCCGGGCGATTCTGTACACTCGTGAAACAGCACAAACGCTGCTCTGCCATCTAATACCTTTAAACGAGAATCTCGGAAACGGCTCCAGCGGTTTTCATGATATTTAGTATGTGTGTAGATTCTGGGGCATAAAATGGATCTAGCTAGGTTTAATTTTTAGAAAATGTTCTTTTATCGCTGTTTTCAGGGTATTTAAAATATTATTCGAATATGACGGTAAATTTCGCCGAAAAAAAATGTTATAATAGCTCGGACGGTAATCGGGCGGCCCCGAAACAGAAGCCGCGGTTCGTGTCACGATCATACACTTTTTTTTTTACTTTTTTTTCTATACTAGATCATTGCTTTCTTTTTTTAATTTCCAAAATATACGATTTATCAAAAAAAAAAAAACAAAAAAGGGTCCTCCAGGTACTATTACTTAATGAAGCACTATCCATTTCCAGACAGTAAGCTCAACGGCCCAAACAGCTTACCGAAGCGAGCCTCACATGTTTTACGGGTGACATGTCGCGACTCTTTATATCGCACTTCAGCTGTACATACCTGTAACAAATAACGCACTGTTAATACCCGTACACACATCGTTACATTTCACAGTTGAACCAACTGTCGCGTGGGTACGGGAATTCGTTGTGTACACACGACGCGGCAATCGTCAATATTTAATTTGCGATACGATTTTATCACGCTTGTGTATTTCCAACCGATCCGGGCTCGAGTGTGAAATTGTCAGCAGTATCGGGGTTTCTCAGTTGCGCTGCTGGTCAACGGCTCGATGGAAATTGCTAAGCTACTGGCTTCGGTGTCTGTGCATGACACTTTCAAATTTACAGACAACGTGCGCAGAAAAAAAAACTAATTTATCTATGTAATTGTTGAAAATATAACACGTCACTGGCTGTGAGATGTTAACTTTTTTTTCTTTAGCTAAAACAAATAATAACTGCAACTCGTGTGCTGTTTACTGAAATGTTTTGTAGCACGTTTGTATGAGATGTCAGGATATGCCAATTACAAACAATGTACATATTTTATTTATTTATTTTTTGGCGTGATTTTTATATATGGAGTGAACACGCATGGGCGTAGCGTAACTACCAAATCGGTAGTTTGCAAATAGTATCGCCAAAGATATCGCACACATGAGCACATGCGTGGCCCTACCCAATACCGAATGGGCGATATGAAGCTTCTGGGATCTGGCCAACTCACCAGTTCAGCGTTCGATGAAGCTTCATCAATCTACTGATAGAAAGCAAAAATTCAGCCTAAGTTAAGTAAATTAGTCTCGTCCCTACTCATAGACTATTTTGGTTACCCCATATATGCTTGCGCTATTATAATTGATTTTGTTATATTCCGCTACCTTTGCAGGATTGTTTTACCAAACGAATACAGTACGAGTGCAGTAACGAGCCATCTTTAATGGATATTATTATATCTTTCACCAGGCGAAACCCAAAGATATATGTACTGCCGCTTTGCTTCACTATTATGTATATTGTGCCAACACGATATTGCTCGAAGACCTTTTAAATGACCGATTTGATTTTTTTAAATCGACATAAACAATCCCAAAGTTGTAATAGACGCGCGACATCCTTGTCTATGGTTTCCCGCGGTTGGCCGTCACGGTGACGTCACCGCCGCCATTTCCGACCGCGAGATGACAGTCGACCGTCCGGCTGGATCGTGTAACGGCACCTTACGCAACCGGACGGTTCACACGCCTCCCGAGACCGGCAGGATGCTGACTGGCGCTGGCGTGAGTGGACTTTTTAATTGCATCGAGGTTTTAATGAGGTTTTCTCGAACAATGAATGGATGAATATTCTTTATTGGACACGCCATTGCAATAAACCCATTAAAAATATCTGAGTTGGAGGATGACGACGCGGCCTTATTACTTAAAGCAATCTTTTCTAAGCTACCCTTGTTTGGAGACAAGTGTTTATTGTATAAACAACAATAAATCTTGAAAATTAGTAGCAATACATGACCAAAGGAATAATAAACCATACAGTTTGTTATTATGTTAAACAAGCTTTTCACATAAGTGTCGTATTTACCGATGTATTATTTTCCATCATCATCTTCTTCATCTTCCTCCTCATCATTTCACCTAGATGGGGACGGTAAATCATGTTATAAATGGTTAGTGCTAGGATTTATACGACCGGCTCTGGGGGGCTCTGGGGGCTATTAGTGTTAGTTTCAATATATTTGTAAATATTTGTTCGGTATCTTTAACTGATACCCTACATTCTACTGCTGTGCCTAGGGTGAAGATTAAAAAACTCCCATTCCTGTATGCAGCGCGCGCGTGCACACGTCCCCTCGCGGTCCAGCGCCGGCCGGAGCGGGTTCAGCGACCGCTCACCCTCCCTAATTTGAATTCGCGGCGTATTATCGCGCGAGATGGCCCTAATTGGATAACAATGAGAGCGCCGGCGCCTCCCCCACGCTGCTGCGCCGGGCGCCGCGCCCCGACTGCCGCTGGTCGCCGCTTAATTGCTCGGACGTTCGATCGGAAAAAGAAGGAAACGTTCGAAATACGATTTTGCTTTTTTTTGTATTTCTTTTGCGCCAGTGCTTCGGCTCTCTGCGTCCGGTCGAAAATAATTACCGCTAAGTTTTAAACGGCGATGGAACGCTCTCGTTTCTATATTTAAAATAACATAGATAAAGTAAAATTTTATATTCGTATTCACACAAAACTTCGTAAATGGGACCAGTTGTGCTCATGTATACGAACTCGACATACGAGTTTCACACGGGCGGCCGAAGACGTCACATCCCTGCAGATATCCCCCGCGTCCGCATAACTTGAGGCGAGATCTCACGGCGCACGCGTGCCCCTAACAATGTTAGATGGGCAGTAAAGAGAACTGCCGGGGCGGAGATGGAGGGGGGAGGTCGTCATCGCTGAAATTCTATTACGCGTTTTATACGCGGGGCGCCTTAATGTGTGAGGGGGGTGCCCATTACAATTTGGCCCCCTCGCGCCGCACCCCCGTCGACGTCGTTATACCTCCGCGTAGCAGCGAGCACGGGGGTCAAGTTGAACTGGTCCAGCGACACGCCTAAATCCGTTCAGCTCGTACGCAAGGGTAGGGCTTAGCTGGCCGATTCGACGCGCACTGTTTGTTTTAAATTATAACAGCTCCGACGTGGTAGGGTTCGTTTTGTGCCATGGGGTGTTGGTGGCTTTGCTTCCGAGCGCTGCTTAACGCCAAATGTTGTAGGGAATTGTAAATTATGAAACATCAGAGCCCGGTTTCTGAAACACTGATCATCGCAGAAGTTAACTCAATCAATCAAAGTAATCAATTAGTTAACTAACCAATTAGTTAATTAGTTGACTAACTATTTAGTTAATTAACTTGACATGCGCATTAAGTGACAGATAAAATGAGTGACAGTGACGTCTGAACTGTCACCGCGCACGCAAACTACCGAGAGTCTAACTTTGAAACTCGCATCATGTGAAAACAACCGTAACAAAAAACTGTCACAAAATCTAGCATAACAATATGTTTGAAACCTAACAGGTATTTTAGCGCGTAGAATTGTAGTCGTGTGAGGTGCGCCTAACATGCTCCTGTTAAATTCAATAAAGTAGGGTTAAATACGTTGGTTTCACTTACAACGTACTTTTGTGTTACAAACTATTATAGTATTATACAATTATATTATTTCCCTATTATAGATTATACTATAATATCATTACTATCTTACAGCAAATTTCACTAATTGAAGTTTGATAAACAAAGGCGTATCTGTGATTGCAAGTTTTTGGCAGACCTAAAATATATTTTTTTTCATTAACAACACAATCAATGACAATGACGAGTGTTTGAACCAACGATATGTTATCGATCAACGCGTTCCGCGAACAATATACCCGTCAACGTGTGTGGCCGGCTTTATTACAGAAGCAACGCAACATCTTCAATGCGGGATTAGCGATCGTACCATTCAGGAAGATGTTTTTTTTTTTAATTAAAGCCTGATACATAACACGTCAACGGTCACTCAACTCGTTCTTCTCCTTCATTCTATTCATAGATCAAATATTCAATTTCAGAACGATCTCCGAACTCCAATATTTGATTTGACAGTCACGCGTCGAGATCGTTGGGGATTTTTTGTGACGGTACGTTAAAGAGGCGATCTTATGCCGTCGTAATAAGGTCCGGTATCGTGTAGACGTTGCGTTCGCCGGTGATGCACTATAAAATTGACCCTATGTGAGAGAGGTAAGGTCTAAAATCGTAAAAGGCGCGGCTAAGTCCGGTACGCGTCCATTGCCGGGAATCGAACGGGGGATTAATCTAGTTATGCCGGACCACGAAGCCGCGATTATGCGCCGGCACGAGTCTAGACTTTAGATATGGAATTGATTTGGGCGAGGGTGTATGCAATCTGGAAGGAAAAGTCACAGCCTAAAATAATTTCATTGACTACATTTTACCTACTGGTTATAAGCCAAACGCGGAACATAAATATTTTCACATCATATGTTTACGCAACGTTATTTAGTCTCAAACTAAGGAAAGCTTGTAGGTAGTATACCCATGCTTGTACCCGCAAGTAAGCATACTTCAACATGTTTTTCTTGATATAAAAACACCCGGATACTAGTAAAACACTATATTCATCACACAATAAATTTCCAGTAGTGGGGATGGAATCCGTATCTTGTGGCTTGCGTCACAGGATACGGGACAGGTTCACTATTGCTACGGCAATCGCATCGTCAATAACAATGAAGTTCTAGAAAAATCTTGATAAAAGTTGAAACGAAATTAATAGAGTTGACACTGAGAGTCAAAGTTTCATAATTTGGATCAAACATCCTCCGTTTGATCCAAATCATCTATGGAACCAAGATTCGAAACCTTTCTGTCATAACTACAAATGTGTATGGAGGAATATAAATCAAAAGCATTAAACTTTTAAACGCATATTTTTATGTTTCAATTTTTAATTTACCGTGCTTGATTTTTAGATAGGCAGAGGCGTTTTGACCTAATACCATAGTCACTACTGCATTCGATGAAACTAGTGCGGTATTATAAATTATACAAGGCAACATTTCACCGCAAAGGAGCAGAAATGGAACATATCTAGTTTAAATGGCAACAATATTATTAAATGAGCACTTCCTGGAGCCGCGCGAACTAAAACTTCACACGGCCCCAATATAGCCGCCAGATAAAGCACTCCACTGTGCCCGGGCACGCCGTATCTGATAACAGGCAACCTCTTGTCGGTTATTCGGTGTTGACACAGTTGCGAGCGGCTTGCGGGAACTGCCCGGGACGTTTCGCAATTCGCCACATGTCACAGCGTAGCCGTCTTCAAGGCAAGTAGGAATAGGTTTTTACTGAAATAGCTCAGAGGATTAGCAAGCTGAAGTGGCGATGGGCCGGCCATATAGCTGCTAGAACCTATAACCGTCGGGGAAGAAAGGTTCTCGAATGGCAGCCTCGTCCTGGCATCGGAGTGTAGGAGGTATCCTGGCCCCACTAGATGGAGTGACGACCTGTGCAAATGTGCGGGAAGTCGATGGATGCTGGTGGCTCAGGATCGCACTTCGTGGTAGTCTATGGGGGAGACCTATGTTCAGCAGTGGACTCAAAGAGATTGAAATGAGGATGATGATGATGAGCTAGCACGCTTACCATCAATGGATGCATCGCCACTTACCATCCGGTGGGAGGTAACTGGCAGTCAAGTGCTGGCCAGTTTTGATTAAAAAAAAACCATCACCGCCACACTCCGAAATGACTTCCTTCGTTTAAATCTTAAAGTACTGGTGCGTGTACAGACAGGGTAAACACTGAAAAGAACTAACCAATTTCTCTAATTCAATAAGTGATTGATGTTAACATAGGTCAAAGTGACTGTGACATGTTAAGTTTGTTATCTTTAACTCCAATTTGATAACTTTGCTATAACTCGTGGGATTCAGTGTTTTTGCAAAAATTGTTTGCATGTATGGAGTGCAAACGCATGAGTGCTTGACTCCATCATAACTAAGGGACAGTCTCTGACAGTTAACGCACCAGCTCCATAAAAGATAATACACTCTTGTCCTCACGGGTTGTACGCAGATTTTATAATTCGATAAAATACTCCAAGTCGGGGTAGCTCAGTGTCCATGCTTTTAATTCAATATACTCAAATGAGTAGAGTGCTGACTTATCACGTGCTCGGCGGTCAAGGAACACATCGCTAGGATAGCTGCATTTTATCGAAGATATGTGCGTTCCGCCGGTCCGCAGTGGTATCTCATGGTGGACTAGACATGGTGGACCCTAATACTCTCCTAGTACTTTACTCCAGCTCTTCGGGATGAACTTTTCTTCTTCCGTATCTAACGAAGCTTTGCTTTTCAATTTGTTTTAGGGTCTCCTTAAGCTTGATCGGTTATGGAAACATTCATTCTTCATTGACCGTTTATCATGGTTCTTGATTCACCGGCATTCAGATGGTTCGAAATAACACGCAATTGAACACATACGATTCATTTGCTAATAACGTGTACACTTACTAATTTGCACTAAAATGGTAGTGTATACTGTAGGGTAGTCTCGTATTATGTAGAAACAATTGGAAGCATTCTCACCTGCCTTTAATCGCGGATTAACTCGGCATCCGTTCTTTGAATCGGTTAGGGCGTTTTAAGGAAGGGCAAAATGGGGTTCCAATATTTTTTCCATTAAATGGTAGTTTAGCAGTTCTATTGCATAGTGCAGACTGCCGTCCGTGCAGGCGTACGGTACCAGAGATGTTGTAGGCCTCAACGGGCGGACTCGAAAGCACAAATCTTATGCTCTTTTGTCTTCTATCAGGCCGTGGTACTGCCTCGTTAAGGTCTGTTTTTGTAGCTGTTGGCAGTTGTTGTTTTACCGCAGCAAAGAGGTTCGTCGGGGGGGTCTGAAAAGCCGAAAAGCTCTGAAACGCCGTAAACCCCTCCAGTTGTAGAGCAGCATACAGTAAGGGGGATCATGTTTCTGCTCGCGACTGGATTTGAATGCGCGATCTCAGATCGCAAATCCGAAGCCCCAGCCACTAGACTTTTATCTTGATATGTCCCAATCTACGCGTGTATTGTGTTCTACGTTCCACAATCTTCTGATATTTGGACTTATCCTTTTTTTTGTATATTATAAATTTAACTTTTTTATATACTTAACTGTCACGAATAAAAACCAGAAAATTATAACAAAACCGATATGGGTGAAATATCAACGTGGATGTGGATAGCCTTATAATTTAAAAACAAGTTTTTTTAAAAAAATCAACTCGAGCATCATCGAAAAGCAGGTGGGTACCCACGAAGATTATATATTTTGTGTGATAAGTTGAGAAGTGATCTGGCGGTTCTCCTGAAGTAAAGTGATAACCGCCGCCCAACGCATCTGAAACACCCGTAGGGTTGCAGATGCTTTGCCACCTCAAAGAAAGGGGACCGGCTACTTCACCCACTAAAAGCGCAGAAGTACAACAGTTCCACTTCACGGAGGTCTTCTGCGAGGTCGTAATATCTCCCCGGTAGCTCCTGCCCATTCGTGCAACAGCGAAGATTGCTGCAAATCCCTACCGCAGTTAAAATATAAAGCCTTGCATGTATGACCATAAACTAGCCAGATCCGTGATGGAATCGTATTTATCTTCGGCGACAATGCGGTCTTTATTAAAATTCTACACTCTTTGAAGGAAATAATAATTAATTTCGGATACGAAGCGGGGGAAGCGGCATTAGCCATTCGTTGGCCATCTAACGGCACTTGTGAATGCCTGGTCTCGATGGGTTCGCCCCATTTCTGTTATTGCAGGCTTAATCAGGAGTTACGGCGTCCGGCTCTCACGAGATTAAGGTGTCAGCATTTATTTTGAACTAGCTGCTGCTCGCGACTACGTCTACGTAGAAAAGGGTGAAGGCGTAACGTTCAGACAGAAAGACATACATAAAAATATGTATATAAATTATAGCCTGTGTTATTCCGATGTATAAACTATATTATTGTAAACTTTCATCAGAATCCACTCAGTTGTATTTGCGTGAAAGAGTAACAAACATCCATCCATATATACAAAATTTCTCGTTTATAATATTAGTAAGGATGGCTACTGATTTACTGGAAATTTTTGCCGCGATAGCTCAGTGTCCGTGCGCTTTTAATTAAAATATACTCGAGCAACCTGTTCAAACCCGGTGTAAAGTTTAAAACGTTAGAGTTAAAGTCAGTTAAAATCGCCATTGGTTTCAGTTAAAAAATTTCGACCTTTCTGCATTCTAAAGCGAAAGCTCTAGAATATTCGAGAGCTAAATGTGGGAAATTAAAACGCGCGCAAGCGCGCAGTAATTTGGCAATTATTTCTTTAGCGTTGGAGCGTTGGGAGACGCCGTTAAGAAAGTTTGCATGCAAAGTTGCAATGCATTAAGTTAAAAGGTCGAGGGGAGCTTTAATTCTTTTAACCTATAAGACCTTTGCGGACTCACATTGCGGTCATAATAGAGGTCAGTCGAGTCTTTTTGATTTGCGAAAGCAAGAAAGCTGCCGCCTCCCGATGTTCTGGGATTACAACCTACAACACCTCATCATCATTTCAACTTGATTGAGTCCACTGCTGAACATGGGTCTCCCCCACAGATCACGAAACACGATCCAGAACGCATTTACAACACCTGTAAAGCTGCAAAGGCTAAATCATTACGTCCAATTTACGACGTTAACACAATGAAAAATAACATAAGCGTGACAATATGTCTGATATTCGATAGTAATCCTTTTCAAATGCATTTTTATTATCCCTTTCTGTACCGATATATCGCTTCATGTGTCATTAAACGTTGTCTCCACTTAGGAATGTGAAATATTCTACAGATGCATACTAGAACGCGACGGAATGCACTAATTGAGGTGGTTAAGTTAATCCGGCGAAAACAAACTTCAAAGAATCGATCGCGTTTTATAGATTACTTAGGGATACCCAATCCTCTTCCAGTTGTCGAACGTTGCGAAAAAAATGATAATATGCAGTATGTTCGGTGCGAATTTGCGGCTTTGTTGCGAGCTCTTTGAGTTTTTTCGAGAGAACTAACGAAGTGTTTCGTCGAGTTGCGCACCTTTAGCTTTTTTCGGTTGCAAAAACACGAATAAAGCGTCTGTTGGTACTAACCTTTGTAACTAGCCTTAGTAACTACTAACCTTTCTAGGTTTGAATTGCAAATACTCAAATTTCTTTACAACTTTTTTAACGTTGCCTACTGCACGTTTTACAAGGATACGGATCAGGCACAATTGTGTCTTGCAATGATCCCGCAAGTCAAGTCCACGGCCCAAAACGTCTGAGTGTGTATGTGAGTACAACACTAGATATATTGCATGTTTTGTCCAAGTACGAGACTTTGTTTAAAGACCTAGCTAAGGACAAGCGAGCTTTTCTCTTTTTATATAGAAAGGTGATAAGCCAACTGGCGGTTCACCTGATATTAAAGGGGTATACAACATGTACGGTGATCTGCAAAACCCTTGTGTTGCAGACACCCTATGAAAGTGGGCCACATTATCTTATTAATAATAATAATGTATTTTATTCCTCCTCACAATACCGTAACGCAAGCGATATAATACAAGCCTGACAAGAAGATACAATATCATAGTTGGTACAGCTTCAGTAAAAAATTTAATCAGGTAATTGTGCCGAGCTGGTGTCTATTATAGGTGTAAACCTGGATTACAGATTACCAGGTCCTCACCCCACGGAATCAACTTAGGCATAGTTAACAAAGCTGAAATAAATGTACATTAAATAGTCTTAATTAATTGTCCAGGTATAAGGAGATTGAATAAAAAGAGATCAACATGAGTGTGCGTGTGTGTTTGTTTGTTTGTGTGTGTGTGTGTGTGTGTGTGTGTGTGTGTGTGTGTGTGTGTGTGTGTGTGTGTGTGTGTGTGTGTGTGTTGTTTACGTCAATTAATGTGTGGGTTTATGCTTGAATTGAAAGAAACGCAGAATTACAATCCATTCTTTTCATAAATCCCCGATATCACTGGCCGAAGCGACTGAGACATGTTACGACATTATTATGCTAAATATAATAGAACTGGTGATGCTCTTTCAACATGTATATAAATGCATACTTTTGACGCTAAAACATTTAGCGATAAAGACCAAAACGTGTTAAATCGAAGCGTATACCACTAAGACGACGAAATCTATAGTAATATATTAAAGCTCAAGAGTTTGTTTGTTTGAACACATTAATCTCTTTAAAAACTCTTTTTGTTACTAGCCCAATTCTTGAGGAAGGTTATATGGTATTTAACGCTACGACCTACGCGGGTAGAAACTTTTCTCGCGGATGAAATCGCACGGAACAGTTAGTTTATATATACATATAACCTCAGACGGCACGCTTGTGATTTTAAATCGAGCCACGCAATCGCCCACGCGCTATAATCCGCAGTGCAAACAAGGGTTCGTCCGCACGCGGCACGCCCCGCGTTGCATATGAACGACGCACTGTTTTTTTTTTTAGTAGATTAGTTTTCTTTTTTATGGTTGCGGCCGGTACGCGCTTCGGAATTTGAACTGAGGATTGCTAGCAAATTAATTGGTTATGTGGAATTGTATTTTTTTATTGCGTTACGGTTCGAACACGATTCTGAAATCAAATAATTTTATTATTTGAACTTGATAAAGTATAGTTATTGTAATCAATATCGTAATTAGTGTCATTTTGGAAGCAGAATAAGTCTGACTAGAAAAGTGATCACTTTTATAGGACAATTATTTATAGTTTCTTGACCTTTTCCTGATAAAGTTACCGTATACTTTTATGCCTGTTTTCTGTGATAGATGATTTTGCATGTTTTGGATAATCTAATATAGTCAAACATTTATGTATACAAAATATGTTATGAAGTAAAAATACACAAAATATTTTCCATATATTATTGGATGATTATCGACCGCAAGCCATATTAGTAAAAAAAAACATAACCCCTTTACTTCGAACATCGAACGCGAAGTGCGTCCGAAGCGGCTATCCGGTTATCATTATCACGTTCGAAAATAGAACGGCGCACGCAAAGCAAGCAAGCGGGTAATCGGGCAAAAGCTTTTACGCGGCGACCAGCTTAATCGGGCACCTCGGTTTATAAGCCCATTCCCTTCCACGGTCGACTTTACGAGGCGCCGCGGGGCGGCGAGGGGGCCGCTTTATAGTGGCACTTAATGCCCCGAGGCAAGCCCACATGCGCCCGAACAGATAAGCGATGGCATCCCCACTCGAAAACTTGTTTAGTCGGAACGATAACTCGGTATTGTCTGCGGGGGTTGTGCGGGCCCGTCGTGAAAGTACATCCTTCGAACAGATGTAGCGTAGGTCGGCGTGAGCGTTCCAATTGAAAAGAAGTCTCAAGTAACCTAACCATAAATACGTTCTAAATTTGAAAGATACGAAAAAATTTAGAAAAGATAAAAATGTATATATTTTTTTTAATTTTTGGTTAAAAAATAGAAGCTATTTATTATTTGTGTATTTAAATATGTATACCAATTTAAATTCTAACAAACTGGTATCACAGATGGTACAACTTACAATTGTCTTAACAGTCGACCTTTACTGTACACGTCGTTTGACAAAATAGAACGAAACTGGGTACAAATTTAAAACAATGTTTAGAATAAGTTTCTTCTAAAGTAAATTCGCTAAAAGGTCAGCGATGTAGTTTCTTAAAATTAAATGCACGACATCTTAAACCTTTCAAGTTAAATGGTGAAGCCCCACGATCATTCCTGGCTAGGCGTGTTTCTCGAACAATTAAGAACAATGGCCGACCCGGTCGTTGGGTCGCGACGTAGAGAAGGAAACGCACAAAGCCCCCCCCCCCCCATTGCGGGAGATCACATAAACTAGCCCTAATTCCGGGCCAAAGGACTTGAGGCTCGAGGGAATCGGCCAAAGATCGATATCGACGGGCCGCGGCGCCAACGCACGATCCTCCCGGCCGCCTCGCTTATTATGCGCCATAACCCCTAACGCCCGGCAATAAAAGCCATTATTCCGACGGCGGCGGCTCAACTTACGCTGGTTCACGATCGTGACGCATCCGATGCATGTTAAAGGCGTAATATCGAAAGAGAAACGACTCCACCACGCCCCAGTGTCGGTTAGAATGTGGATTACGTAAAAATACTGCCTATTCAGCGGGTTCTGATAATATTTTTCATATTTCTTATGTAGTAATGTGATAAACTTCACAAAATAAGTTTTTATAAAATTTAAGGGTTTATTTATTTCTGTTATAACCTAATAATTATTATTTTATAAATAAATAAGAGAAACAAATGCTTCAATATTTTATTTTGTTTTATCCTTTTTTAAGAATATTGTGTAGAAAATACTCAAACATGGTTTCGATCTTCCAAATTGATAATTAAAAATGGCGGTAGCCGGTGTTAACTTTGACACTCGGACGTCTAACGCCTCACGCCCGATTAGTTGACTTCTACGATAACCAGTAATTCAGAAACCGGGCTTGGTTCCCGTGACCATGAATGCTGCAAAGAATTCGAAACGTCCGGGAATTAAAATTAACGCGATAAACGCGTAAAATTATTTTCATTTAGTAACGTTTTCAAAGTCCATTTTTGTACGTATGATTCGAAGTGACTTTTATTTTTGCATCATCATTTTTGCAGACGGTTTGGTCAGTATTAGGGTCACTTTCTTCAGATGAACTCTTCGTTCTTATATAGAACTCTGGAGGTATGCGTAAAACTTGCGCTGGTTTGTGGCAACGGATAGTGGTGTGTCTTTTGCTTTTTACCCGTGAAGTTTGACGAACCTAGCTCCGCTGAGGAATTTTACCGACACATACACCGGTCCCGCTTTGCGTATAAATTTGTTACATATAAGTACAACGGTCGTTGATTCTAAAGATGTAAATAATTTGCCTAGTTTAACCGGAAACAGTACTATCTAGAATCATTTTATTACACGTATGTTGAAGTTTATTAATACGCACAGTTAATTTTAACCGCATAATAACGATTTTAAGATTTATCTTGACGTAATTCAACATTGTGCAATGTTTGAACGGACATGACAAGAGCTCGGGCTGACCGCTGTATCAACGGTTAAGGAAATCGTATATATTGTATTACAATGACGAAAATAAAGCGTACTTGATTTTAGGTGGATTACATAATCAATAGGCTACACAAATTTTCTGAATAATATATGTTTAAATATTGATTAATGTCTAATTTTTTTGTGGACATTATCGCGTTTACCGACTTGACAGCACCAATGCTTACACACATCGACTCACATAGAAGCTCTAAACTCATAAAATACACTTTAATAAATAATGTGTTGTATTCTTGTCAGTAGAAAACATTGGTTACGTCTTCATATATTAAAAATATATGCTGTATTTTAAACGTTTGGAGGGAATCGTATGTATAATAATTATGTGGTCAACAGATTATGCGAAAAAAATTATAATCTGTGTGGAAATATTCGCTAACGGAGTTGTCTTTGTAATCTTAATTTATGGACCGTTGGAATAGTTTATCGTTTTCAGATGTCCGTCGATACTATTTCAGTGGAGTTTCAGGAATGTTTATCTTTTGTAAGCCCAATTTATCGACGATATAAATGAGATATTGCTTTGTGGAATCGACACGAGTGCTAACGGCTCTATAAATATTTGGTTTGGAGCGCGAATTTTTTCCTCAGACACATTTTGGGGGACGTAAATATTTTGAACGGTCTTCTTCACGTAAATGATCGTTTCATTATATTCATGACCTTGTGATAAATATACAAAAGTATTCAATATTTGGTCATGATAACATATTCGTTGTGCATTTATGATATTACTAGGATGTAACAAAACTCGTTGTAACGTTGAGATTGGTAAATCAACCAGTAAGGATCAGAAAATAAAACGTTGTGTGTTCGTATTATTAGCAGAAGCTTTGGCTGAGATCATCGACTATGTAAAGGATTTTCATAGCATTATTAAAGAAAATGAGAAAATTTTTCCTTAAAAGCCATTCAAACATTGATCATCCATCCTCAAGTTTCAAGTGCTCGGGTCATTGTCCCGAAATTGCTCTATACACTAAATATGGAGGTCAAGCATTATGTACAAAACGGGACCCAGTATTGTTTGCCGTCCCACCCTCTCGCACGGCTGGAATTAGAGCAGGATAGATGGAGCGCTCAAAGATGTTTATAGGACGACAGTACTTGCTGTGGGCGCCCGATTTATTTGAGACGAAGAGAACTCTCAATTAATAAAAATTCTGTATGTCCATCCGTGATATTTGAATCATCTACGATTACACAAGATTATTAACCGGGAAAACTTTCTACATAATATACGGATGCCCATTATGGTCAATTCTAGTTCGTTATTCATTAATTATTGTTTAACCGTATTGTAAATACGGTACGAAACCTTACACGGTGCTGGCAACTATACGTACCTGATACAAATAAATATATTGAATAAGTTTCAATTGAAAATAAAGAATGCGTATACTCTATACATATTATTAGAAGGAAAACGCATGCCCAATTATGCAAAAAGTAATTTATTTTTACTCCGTAGCAGAGCGGTACGTATTAGCCCCAACAGTTATACCATGACATTACTTTCGAACTAGGGATGGGCCGCGTGTGTCGATTGTATAGAACTGGTGCTGCACCGCCCTCTTCTAGGCACCGATTATCTTCTTATCAATAAACAATAGCTTTACGTCCGTCTCTGTCCGATTATGTGTTTATTTGGAGGCCTCTTGTTTATGAATCAATAAGCTTTTATTGGCCTTCCTGTGTTTATGCTGCGTTTTACCCTGTGGTATGGTATTCAGCTGTTTCTAGGATGGGCAGGCTCGTCCGAGAAAGCACGGGGACGCCTTCGATCATAAAATACCCAATAAGTATTCTGAATTTAACCAGATATATTTTGTGAGCACTTATATCAATCGAACCATTGAAGTAGTGAGACATATGGTCGACTTGTGTCAGGCGCCGCATCGACGCGGCCACTTAGACTAACAGCTTGGCAGGAAGTTGCCCACTTGAGAACGTGGTGCGGGATTCGAGTTCGGTACCACGTTTGATTCGCTTCGCACATCCTTTCATAAATATTAATGTTGGGCCGATAACAGTAGGGCAAAAAAGGGATTAAGAAAAATCCGTGGAAGCGCTACTGTTTAAATGCTTGATTTCAAATACTTAAATAATTTAAAATTTATCGAAATAGGAACAATGGTATACAGGACGGACCTTTGTCTGACATTTATTTTATATGTATATATATTTTGACACGTAGTATTTAGGCTTGCCACCTCTTTACTGTAAAGGAAGTTCGATAATGTAGTGGTGTCCCTCAGGGACGCCTACTACCTCATACGGTTTATTCAAATACAAACTTCGTCCGTATTCAACGAAATCGTGAAATGTCATGCTATCATAATTATAGTGGGTTTTCTTGACATTCAAAAGGATGTAAGTGTGTCGGTATGTATCTCACTTGGTCTGAAATATGGCCGAGCCTATATATTTATTTTAAATACTTAGTAATAACGCTGTAGTCTTATGTTTTTTATTGCTTAAACACATGGTGTACAAGACAATATCGTTACTATATTGTAAATGAGCTATTTACAATTTTGTGAAATTCATTTTTTAGTAGTTTCATCTTAAGCACAACGATTAAATACCGCAATTAAACGATAAAATCCAACAGGTCATTGAACATAGTCCAGTAATCTAAATATATCCGGGGACCTCATCTTGCAATGTTCAGAGAAGTCACCCATTTCACAAATTAAACATATCAAAGCCCGGAGGCGTCGATACGGGGCAATCACACGATCCAGGGTAACGGGCGGGAGGGAATTGGGATACGAAGACGCTCAATATTAAATTAGGCTCAGCTGGGCCCTGGCTGGGATTAGACGGGATTAACCCAGCCGGCTGCGGGAATTAAGCAACTTTGGCTACGTGTGTGGCGAGATTACAGCGCCGCGGGGTTTCGGATTATGAATGTATTTATGAATGCCGCTTACAACAACTAGAGTCCTGTTATTGATGATTCTCGGAAGAACTAGAAAAGCTACAGACACAGATTTGCACCCTTTGGCGTTTGAACTTTGTGGAGTAAAGGCTTTACTGTTGGTTTCGGTCTGTCTGTTCATGGTCTAGCGATCACATCTAGTTGGGATAAGGGCAGGTGAGAGAAGAAGCGTTGGAGCAACTAGCACTCATTTTGTAACTCTTATTTAAGTGCTTTATTCGACGCGTTTGCCAGAATTGCCACATCTGCAATACGCCATAATCGGCTATGCTCAGAGACAATTTTTTTATTTTTTTTTTATTTAAAACATTGCCATTACTTTAGGATAATATTATCCTGTGTTGTAATGACGTTTTACAAACATAAATTTCACGCAGACAAACACCCAGTTGCGAAACAACTATCTGTGGGTCACGCAAATAGTTATCCCGTGTGGGAATCGAACCCACGACCCCTGAGGCCGAAGCCAATACCTTGGCAACTGCGCCACGGAGTCATCAAACTATTAATTTATATATTAATATTACCACTGGTCTAGGAAGTTATTAATTTGCGAATTCTATTGTAACACTTATTAGAGCTCTATTTAAACGATAAATTAAACATTAAAACTTGTAGAAAAAGTACGAAAATATTGTCGCTGCTGTGGGAATCGAACCCACGTCTTCGGCATTCGCGTTCGCATTCCTCCAGATTAGCGCTATAAAAAAACTTTAAATTTCTAAAAAGCAATGGCGACATCTCTCGTTCGAAGTTATCGTTGTAAAACGATATTCGAAATTGTTTGTATGTTGGAAAGGATATATAACAATAGATGCGCCAAGCATTGCTTCAAATGCTAACAAGCAATGTAGATTAAAGACGTTAATATTTTCGTCGGTGTGGCAATCAGCCGTTTTGCTTAGTGGCTAAGGCGTCAGGTCGCGAATGCCAAAGACGTGATCAACAATCTTTTCGTACTTCTCTACAAGTTTTAATGTTTAATTACGATAAATTAATTTGCTCCTAAGAGCAGTCTTTTATCATACAACAAGCCGTCCCTTGATACGAATTCAAGAACCGTGAACTTACTCTGCAATCTGAAATACGAGTACAGCATGACATACCGTCTTGCATAACGCGCTGGGGAAAAGGTTTTTATGTTTTTGAATTCGTCGCTAGTGGCCTTTCAGATGCAAAGTGCTGACTCCTCGCCATCCGGTAATGGGGGGGGCTAGGGGGCCATTACGCATAATACGAAATGGTACTTCCCGGTTCGTATAGGGGTATCAGGGTGACCAAAGATTCGTAAAACTAAAGAATCAGTAACTGCATAGTTTGAAGTAATGCGCCAAGTATTGCTTCAAATGCTAAAAAAAAAATAAACAATGTAGATAAAAGACGTTGATATTTTCGTAGGTGAGGTATTCACCCGTTTAGTTCGATTCTCACAGCAGCGAAAAATATTTCGTACGTTTTTCTACAAATTTTAATCGTTAACTTGTAAATAATCACGTTCGTCGTTTTAAAGTTAGGCGACTATTTTGGGCGAAATCTCATTTAGAAACCTCTCCTTTAGAAACTCTTTTAGGGTGTTTTTTCCATTTTTGCTTCCCCATACTTATAATTCTTTAAAAAAACTACTCCGACACTAGAAGACAATTCTTGTCTCGGGGGCTTTCTTTTTTTAGTGGAACTTGGATTACTGTGGAAGGACCACGGCACAAGTTCTGCTGTTCAGGATCGTCTGGAAAAGTAGCGATGCCATGCAGAAGAACAGCGTGAATCATACATTAGCGTTTCGCCTAGTGATTGCAGTATTCGGGACTCACTTTTTTATACGTTAGTACGCATCTATAAGCCCTCTGGTGTTGTAGGTGTCCATTGGTCGGCGGTGTTCATTTAGCATCAGGTGAACTGCCTGATCGCTTAATCACTTTTCACATAAAAAAAATTTCCGTCTCTACTATATATGTATAATATTATATATGTTAATGTAAGTTTGTTTGTTACACTTTCACGCCAAAAGTTCTCAACCGATAACATGAAACTTTGGACACATGTTCTTAGAGATATTAAAAAGGACATATGATTCTTTTTATTAAAAAAAAATGTTGTTTAAAAATATATTTAAGGGCTTCACGCAGGCGGAGTCGCGGGCGAAAAGCTATTATTAAATAAAAATAAAGTAAATATTTGCCATCAACGTATCGTTCGCCTTGATCTCTCGATTATGGCATACTCTGTTCTTGTCCGTGCAATTGCTGCAATCGACGAAAGTAATGAGGCGGATAATTGTTCTTTCCCGCGCAATTTCCGCAACATTGCGTCCTAATTAACATACAGACCGTTTTGAATATCGAATACACGTCTCCACAGCAAGCTGCATAGCAGCTGAATTATCATACGGTTCGTTTAAACAGACTGGATAAAGGCTAAACAAAACCTTCATAGATTTATTATATTAGTAGCTGTGCCCGCGACTTCGTCCGCGTGGACTTTAACATAAATAAAATTTCTAATATAAAAGTAGCCTCAGTTACTCCTTTTTACATCCTTTATCTGCCGGTGAAAATCCCGTCAAAATAGGTCCAGCCGTTTCAAAGATTAGCCGGAACAAACTAACACACAAATAAAAAAAGTTACATTAAAAAATTTTGTTATATATACCGTGTATGATGTATGTAAAATAACGGATTTTTTCCATATGGATGTATGTAAAATAACGGATTTTTTTCTAAATGCATATGTATGCATTTAGTAAAAAGCGGTAATTTTAATATTACAAAGAGATACTCCAATAACTGTTTAGAATATTTACGCGAACATTAATTTATTTCAAAATTCATAGTACTTTCGCTGAGAGAAACAAGCACAGTCTTTCTTATCCGCACGATTGTATAGAAATGACAAGGAGACTGGTCCCTCTTAAATGGCAGTAATGGGGGACGCAAACAATAACTGAAATGTCAAGACGAGTACACATTACTTCCAAAAGTCACCCTTTATTTTTTTACTTGTACGTAAGAGACGATGTGAATCGACTTTTAGTCAGCGGCAATTTGCTCCGTTTTAACGACTTAACACGAACGAGGTTAAACTTAACTGTGTATACCCTTAAAGGTTAAAAGCCGGGAGACCTTGTTGTAACATGCAGGACAGTAGTCGACCGGTCGTCACCGACCCAATGGGTTGATTGTCCACGAAGCAAATTAAAAACCTATTAGGCTACACGAATGATATACCAGCATTTTAATGTTATATACTATATCCGAAAATGTATTAAGAATCGCTAAAACTATTGAGACAGACCTGATGAAGCGTTCATCGGGTTTAATAGTAATTTTAGTAATATTATTTTTATGTTCAAAATGTCTCAAGGAAAGATTAGAAAGAAGTAGTTAAGTATAAAAATGTATTTACTATAATTTTACTTTAAAACATGTTTATTAATAAGACGAGACGAAATAACAGCTTTGTAGAACCGTTTCTTCTTTCTTCATGAATTCGGACATAGTAGCACCATGATCTCTACCGACAAGTAAACCTCTCCAATTATAAATTTTGAAATGCGAAATAGGTACTAAGTATGTGAGTGCACGAAAGAGTTACGTATCTGCTTTGACTGAAACGACCAAACATAGCTCCTTGACGCGTACGAATGTTGCTATAAAAGCGCGCCCCGTCTCCGCTCGCACAATGGCACGCACTCGCTTCTATCGGTTCAGTCACGGCCCAGTTTCGAGCCGGGGGCGGTGCAGGCCCGCAGGTAGACAGAAAAAAAGGCCCCACGAAAAAAAGGGCTCGGCCCGCCGCGGGGGCGAACATTAGTCACCGCAAAACGGGCCCAAACGTGACGTCGCAAGGTCGAAGTTCCAATAGGCCGGTTGGCGACGCAGGGGTCTAATCACACACGCGGGATTTTTTACGCGCGGCGTATTTTTTCCACCCGCCCGTACCGGCTCAATTTCTGTCGGAGAGGGATTTCTTCGTCGGATGGCGTGCTGGGGGGGGGGGGGGGGGGGGATCGCGTTACGAAGACAATTTAGGATGTGCTGCCTTTCAGAAATCGGTGTTGAATCATTTTGTCGCTTTGTGTAGGCGAAACAGTTGGCCTTATGGGTGCTGACCCTTGCTTTGCCAGAGATTTACAACATTATATAATTTCGTCTCGCGTGTTTTGTGAGGAAAAAATGTCCAGAATGAAATATATTAACAGGCATTACCAAAAAATAGGCGGCGGGCCTATATTCAGCTTTTTATTGCAAAGTGCGCGCTTTCTGCCACCGCATAAGCTCTTTAAATCCAATGGAATAAGATTCACAACCAGCAACTTCAGAGGCCGAATTAACTTTCGAAGCACCTCAACCGATATTGCGCTTTATCGTAACGCTAATAAAGTTTAAATTGGTGTATATACCGAAACTTTGCCGCTGCATGCCGAACGTATGGAGTCCTGAGTGTGAATTGGACTGGATCGGTGTGGATTTATAATCAAGAAGTTTTCAGTTCGTGATTAAATGAAGCGATACTAATGGGTGGCATTTACAAAAATGGCCGTGGAAATTAAGACCGGTTCGACTGTGCCCAAAACTAGGGGCAGTGGCGGCAGCATTGAGCCAGACCGGCTTTAGGATTGAAAGCATACAGTTATTCCATTCGACCGGATCGAGACGATTTAGGGACCTTCAAGAAGAGAGCCTACTCCTACCTCAAAGGTCGGCAACGCAATTGCGACTCAACTGATGTTGCAATGTCCATGGACGGCGGTGATCGCTTATCATCAGGTGACACGCTTCCTCGTTTGCCTTCGTTATCCATAAAAAAAACAAAGCGAAATTGGTAGCAACATGCTAGTATAGCAATCGGTGCTTGTAGGCAGTTATGACTCGGGGCGTTTCTCACCGCGCCCAGCCAAGGGATGACAAAGCCCACGGCCGCCGTGGTCCGCACTTTTCTATGTTACGGTTGGCAAAGAGCAGGCGGTTCACCCGATGTTAAGTGGTTACCGCCACCCATGGACATTACAACAACTGACGGGTCGCTTGCCAACATTATAGAAGTGGCCTCCCGTTCCTCATTCACCAACATTCTTCATCCACTTCACCTCAACGAAATCCCTTTGAACTACCATGAGTATCCATGAGTACCATGAGTACAGTAATGAAGCTAAAAAATTCATTAAAATTTGTTTAAACATCATTAAAAGAATAAATAAATATTTGCGAACACATTTTTACACAACGTTCTCTACTCCCAAACAAAGCAATGCTTGTACGATTGGTATTAGAAAACTGATATACATGCTTAAACTTTTCTTCCGTAAATAAATACGTAAAATAAATATACTAATGGTCGCCCAGTGGTCGAAATGCGACCATAATTAATTAAACATGGTGTGTGTAATGTTCTTTTTTATTGTTTTAATGGTACTTTTATGCTGCTTTTTTATGTGCTTTTTTGTCTGCACTCCTTCTCTATATAAGTATAAACTATAAGTATAGAAAATTTCATAATCTTTCGTCCGCGCAGTTTTCGTAAAATGGGGTACAAAGTTTTTGCTTCACGTTACCACCCAGACACTGAAAAAACACTATGTTCATCACAAAATATTTTTCCAGTAGTGGGGATCGAACCCACACCTTGTGGCGCAAGAGGCAAGTTCACTACTCCCCACGTCATCGGGCTGTCAATCGATGATTGGCTTCCAACCGTTTCTCACCCGCTTGGCATTTCCATTTCCCGCATCCAGCCAAAAGGCATAGTTCCGCAGCGGCCATTACCCACGGCGGCCTGCCAAAGACGTCCGCATAAATTCCGCCAGCGAGGTGCCGAGCGCGCGGTGCCAAATCAGCGAGGACGTTTGGCATCGCCACCGGGGCCCCTGCCAGCCCCGCGCCAATCGTCTGCCAGGTGCGGTGCCAAATCGCCGATCGCCACTCGACTGTCGCTTCGCTCTGCCAATACGTAAGTTCGTCTGGAGGCATTCCTTTCTCGTTTATTTGCCAGTTTGGGATACGGTTTTCAATTATCGTGATGTCGTTTTGAATTTCTACCTTAGTGGAAGTTAACTGGTATGGGTATAGAAGAAAATACTAAATCGCCAATCAGGTAATCATGTTAATTACAGGATTGTGGTTACTTATCTCATTTGGTGATTGCGGTGATGTCTCAGAGAAAGTTTTTATTCTTAACAATGGCAATGTTCGTAGTGACTTAATAATCAATCATCACTACATAGTATAAAACAAAGTAATCCCGCTGTCTGTATGTTCCTACACGCTTAGATCTTTAAAACTACGCAACGCATCTTGATGCGGTTTTTACTAGATAAGAGTGGTTCAAGAGGAAGGTTTATATATATAATACATTGCACCCGTGCGAAGCCGGGGCGGGTCGCTAGAAAAAAATGAGAATGGCAAACTGCTCCAGACCTTTCCTAAAACCATCGGGTTACAACGTTCCACGTCTAATTCCGAGCGTCACGAAAAACTCAATCGATTACCAAACGCAAACCGACAAGTTCACGTTTGCTCTCAGAACGCACCGCTGGCCGCGACCGCTTCCGTTAGGACCACAACACCGGCAAACATACGTCCCTTTTGATCAAATCGTAAAATCCAATCGGGATCGCTCGCGTGGGTTTGTATCGTTATATTCATCGACACAAGTTATTGCCACAAATTACAGACGGCGGGTCATTTAGTTTTGGCCGCTTAGGCCGATCGCGCGGGGATAAGAAGGCGTGTCATGGAGTCAGGTAAGCTTCGACGCTTCGTAGGCAAATTTCACAATCAATTACTGTGGTAGGACAACAAAGCAGTGTTTGCTGTTGCTCGAACAGCAAGGCTAACCGCTGTTGAAGATCGGCGTGTTGTTGAACAATCAAACTTTAACGCCTGATGAGCGAGAAGGCTGGTATTCTTAAAGATTGTCAACACATCAGGATTGGAGCATTAGCTGTAATCACTTCAGGTGAACCATCACACTTGGCTCCTTGCAAAAAATGTTAAAAAACGAAGAGGCTAGTGTGATTACATCAAAAGGGTTTGATTAATTATACTAGACCGGTTGTCCTTCGTGTTTATTACGGTAGCGGTGTATGACCGAAGGCTGGGTCAAGGCACGTCTCGTGAAGAAGAGTGGGGGTTGGAAATCACAATCCTCTTCATTATGGAAACGGCAGAAGTTGGGTTGTGAGACACGGATCTATTGTCTGATTACGACACCTGATTTAACTGTTAAAGCACCAATTATGCTTATAATACTCGTGCAATTGATTCATTTAATTTGTAAGTTAATTCGCATGGTTTTAATTAGATTCCAATTGACATTTTTATTGTCAGTTGGGAGTTATGTGTCCAAACTTTGGTGGATTAGAGGTGAGAGAGAGAACATTTCAAAGACCTCTCCCCTCTATCCCCGGTTATGTGACTTAGGATTTTTTTTTATGTGAAAAGTTGACAAACAAGCAGACGGTTCACCTGATGGTGAGCGAATACTGCTACAACCGAGGGTTACAGGTGCGTTGACAACCTTTTGAAAATTGGGCTCCGGCTACCTCACTCACCAGGCGAAACGGATTTGAAGGCACAAAAATTACCTACCGACCAATCTCGCGTACGGCATCTTTCAAATGATCCGGGCGTGTTCGCAGATACGCACGCGTTGAGCCGATAAAAAAGGCGATCCGATACGATCCGTGCAACATAATAACACACGAAAACGACAGAACCGCTCTAACGACCGACTTCCGCCCGTTCCGATCCCGCGGTCGCCTAATGCGGAGCCTAATGATAGCGCTGACCCCGCAGACTGTAAAATCGCGGCCGCAACCATTGTTTCGACTCCCAAATCGCATGGAACACTGCGTATCGCGCCTCCGCAATTCTTCGCGGCCATTTTGTTGGACATCTGCGGTCCGCAAAATGGCGTCGATTTCAAATTGACTCGAAACATAATTGAGGGAGGAAGGGAACGCATCTCTGATTTATTCTACAGTCTCGGTTGAATTAACTTAGTTGTCTATGACTTTAATTTAAGTTTAACGCACTCATTGGCACCGGTAACAGATCGAATCGGAACCAATCGGGAATAGGATATACGCAATCGTATTTCTGTTTTAATCTACGCATGTTCACGGTCGAATTTACATTATGGTTATAGTGCGCGTAACTATGGCTGTAACTAAAGTCAAAAGCACTCCATAATTAGACTTGCATTAACTTATTTTTCATATATTACTATAATAAAATTTAACAAGCTTATGGGTCGGCCGGATCTAAGCACAGATTGGGTAACACAATACGATATCCAGGTCAACTTAAACAAAGGCAAAGGAACTATCTAGACTTAAATACACAGACTGGGTCACCAAATTCCAGGATCAACCTATCAAAAAAGGATTCTCTGTTCTGACACGTTGGGTTAAAACCAATATCATGCTTTTTCTTAACATAAAGGAGTTATAAGTTACTTACTCGTAGAACTTAAACAGCGTTACTTAATTCTTTTCCTATCCGTGAGCGTTGAGTTTTTTTTTTACTTTATTTGGACATAAAACAGTTATACATTAACAATTATACATAAAATTTAAAAAGTAAAGTAAAGTAACAGCCTATACATGTCCCACTGCTGGGCAAAGGCCTCCTCTATACAGAGGGTATCAGGGCATAGTCCACCACGCGGCCCCACTGCGGATTGGCGGACTTCACATATTTTCGAAATACATTTTTTTTTTGTTATTATTCCGAAAATATGCAGGTTTCCTCACGATGTTTTCCTTCACCGCGGAGCACGTGATAATTCAGCACTTAAAGTTAAAAACTTCATTGGTGCCGGCACCGGGGATCGAACTCAGGTTGCTCGAGTATACATTGAATTAAGGCGAGCGCCCGGACACTGAGCTATCACGGCTAATGTAATTTCTAATTATTAAACTAAACGTATAACCAAAACCAATGTCCGCAGAATAATATTAAGTAAAGTAAAATAAGAAGAGTGGGTCGGTTCCTAGCCTAATTTGCGTATTACTTTATAATTATTAGTGTAACCATTCTTTTAAATTACATACTGTATTATTATATGTATTACATAAGGTAGTTAACAGGCAAGTTAACTAAGTGACTACCGCCGTTAGTGGACACCAAAGACACCCTTGGGGTTGAGTCGCGTTGCCAACTGGCCCCGAAACGTCTGATAAGTGAGGTAATAATAGTGGAAACATTGTTACACAATTGCATTCCTTTGTTATACTAAAAGAGATGCTGTAAACCGAGAGTATAATAGGAGTTTACGCGGTATATTTAAGGAGGGCACTCCGTGTCTACGTTGGACAAATGGCTTGTAGATATCGGAGGAGAGACAAGATTTTTAAACTCTTAACGCACATTTCAGTTAATGCGCAGTTAGTGACCATGGATTTTAAGGCGTCAGAACCCTTATAAATTTGATACAAGATAAAAGATCTAAATTCCATTATATTGGCATTTGATATCCCAAGCGACACCCGCACTGGGACATTAATCCTTAAATTTCACAGCCTCAATTACACCCATATCCCGAATAGGTTTGAGTACACGTTTCACGGTGGTGGGGCCACGCAGCAGCCTCGGCTGTTGCACGAATGGGCAGGCCCGTCCGTTTAAGTACCACCACCTCACAGAAGACCGGTGTAAAGTGGAAGTATAATAGTTTCGCGTTTCGTCTGGTGAGTGAGGTAGCCGGAGTACAATTTTCAAAAGGTTGTCAACGCATCTGGAACCCTCGGGTCAGCCATTATCGCAACCGTGCAGCTGATACCGTCTACTTCCCACACAGTTTCGGGTTCATTTTAAAATTGTTACCTTTCTGTTTTCCGTAGGGATATATTGAACGGCACGCCTGGCGGAGCGCGCGTCGGTAATTTTATGTTAATTCCATCAGACCCACTGTTGCGCATTGCGCGAACCAATGTTTATCGCCACGATCAGCGACAGCTGGGTCTAACGGTCGTGAGCGCACGCTACGCGAAAACGCTTCCGTTCGGAAGCTATCTAAATAATATCCTAAAGTAATGGATATGGTAAAAAAAAACTTTGGCTACGAAACGTTATACTATACACATTACTGCGGAGCGATGCAGCACTGCTGTTGCACTATTGGGCAGCCTCGTCCGGAAAGTAGAGTAGAATAGAAGAATATGTAGAATACCTCTGTCTTCGCCTTGGCACGAATGGGCACCTATGTACTGGGAACTAGGACCTCATAGAAGACCGGCGTGAAGTGGAAGTGTTACACTTCTGCGGTTTGTCTGCTGAGTGAGGTAGCCGGGGCCCACTTTATTAAAAGGTGGCTACGCATTTGCATCTGCATGGGTGTTGCAAATGTCCATGGGCGGCGGTCATCACTTAACATCAGGTGAACCGCTAGCACGCATGCAACCTTCTCACATAAAAGGGTATGGTACGTGATTACTGCAGCTCATGGCCATATAAAAAACCAGATGGGGATGCGGGGGCGCCGCCATTCTTTAGTAGACCCCGGGTAACTAACGTGAAAGTTATATTGACGAGTAGAGTTTTCATACTAATCTGTACAGCCGAAGTGTCTATATTCCATTAAGCCATATATATAAATATGGTTTACAAATATTTTTATTCACACCATTTCAAGTTTTATATTGGCGAGTAGAGTTTTCATAATAATCTGTACAGCCGAAGTGGCTATATTCCATTAAGCCAAATATATAAATATCATTTACAAATATTTTTATTAACACCATTTCCGTTACATTGAAACAAAAACACTGCACAAAGTTGACAATTACGAAATATTACAGACATTTTACAATACAAACAAACTTCTAATCACAAGTACTTTCGAGATTACATTCTAAAGTATTACACACGGTATTCACAGGTATCCTAGATCTGGAACGGTTCTTTACGTCAAACGAATTCGTTATTCGTGGAGTAATCGAACCCGCTAACTGCGGCGTCTTAATCCA